ACACGCATGAACAGAAAAACTTCGACCTTTCTAAGAATCTTAGAAAAACAGAGCTCAAGTTTTGGGGGGGTTTTGTCTTTTTTTTTTTTTTTTTTTTTTTAAATTAGAAAGAAATGGGATACAAAGTTGGTTATTTAGATTAAGGTCACTGGGACCAATGTAACATTTTTTTTCCAGTGTTTCTCTCTTACTATTTCAGAAAAACAAACAAATACTCACCAAAACAACAACAAAACCAACCAAACCAAACAAACAAACAAACAAAAGGCAAAACTTATAAACAAAATACCATTTCAACACTAAAAAGTAAAAAATAAAAAATAAAGAGCTCATTGTCAGACTGAAAATAATCTTTTATCAAAATGGAAAACGGGTTTTAAAAAAAATCTCTAATTAATCCTACTAATTACATGTACCTAGGTTGGCGCTCTAAATTCTCCTTCATCCAAGTATCACTCAGACCCTTGGAAGTCAGTGGTTCGTGCTCAGCCTTCAGCATTTCAGATTTTATTTACTGCAGCAGCATATCTAAACTAGAATCCAGAAATTTACTGGTCCAGGAGGAGAGACAAGGAAGGAAGGAATTAAGCTCTCTGTCCAGCTGGCAGTCACTGAGTTGAGGACCCCAAGTTAAGGAGACTGAAGATGTTTATAGATTGTGGCAAAATTTACCTGCTGCATCCAGTCTTCAGAGGCTCTGTCAGGGTCAGCAGCAGGGTGATAAAGAAAGGTGGACCAAAAAAAACCCAGCAAGTTAAAAAGACAGGCTGCAGGAACTAATTTTGTCATGTGTGAGCTCCTTTATTTCTTGAACTTTCCAGGCTGGAGTGGTTATACAGATGATCACAAAGGAAATGAAGACAGCCAGCAATTTCCCAGATGAAGGCTGGCTGTCCAGACAATGTGGTCCCTCAATAAATTCCTCAGTCTCTCCAAAAATGGGCAAAAATATAGACCCACAGTTCTATTAAATGACAAACTTATTTTAAAAACATTGCTTATTGCAGTGTTTAAGTGGAGTGCAGGCAGGAGCACACCTGTAATTGCCTTGTTGAACATCTGGATCACAGGTAGATCAGAACAAAACCCATTCAAGGCATTTACCTCCCCAAAAAGACTAGTGCCCAGACTTCCAGAAGGACTCCCTATCCCATGTCCTCCACTTCTGTTTAGACCTCACATGGAGGTCTAAGCACTTCTAAAAAGTCTTAACCAAGCTGACTAGTTTCCTGAACATCAGATAACAAGCTATTCCTACTATTAACAATAAATGAATAGTCTTCCAGTTCTGGGCAAGTGGATTGTAGCCCCATATATTTATATCTGAGTAATCTCAGCATTACGTGCCAGCTCTCAATGTGTTGTTTTTAAAGCACTGTTGTAGTTCACTGCCTCTTTAATTTTTCATAGTTTATAAATTTATAACCATTGCTGTTTGTGGTGTAGGAAAGTCTGGAATCAGAAGGTCGATATTGGATCATTTTAAGGTCTAACCCACAAATTATTTCTTCCATTGTGCCAGCTAAAGAATAGAGCTGGGGAAGCCTGCAGAACTTGCTGAGGAGAAATAACACTTTTCTGAGAGTGGCCAATGCATTTATCAAGAACTCTGCAGGCTGCCTCAGATGTGAGGCAGAGATGCCCAAACAATGAGTTATACCCAATCCCCCACTAGCAAGATTCAAACAGAAGGTGATAAACAGTCAAGACAAACACAATACCAAACATACTGATGACACTGTACCGTCAGGATGTCCATGACCTTTCCCTTGACCTCTGCTCTGTGCTGCCCTTTGAGCCTGTGGGGCCTGAGCAAACCTTACCTTGAGCCACTCGGACCTGCAGCTGCATTTCTGCCTCCCCTTCCTTTGCTCCTACTCCTTTCCACGAAGGAGGGATGGTGGCTTCTGCACAGCCCCTCTGCTCCAGCACCGAGACAAGCAGAAAACAAGCTGGTTGTTGCATCTCTTCCCTTTGACTGGTGACACACCACTTTGTCAGAAAAAAAAGTGATCCTAGGAGCATAGAATGGCTTGGGTTAGAAGGGACCTTAAAGGTCATCCAGCTCCAACCCCTCTGCCACGGGTAGGGACACCTTCCCCCAGATCAAGTTGCTCAAAGCCCTGTCCTACATGGTCTAGAAAACCTCCAGTGATGGGGCACCCACAGCTCCTCTGGTCAACCTGTCCAGTGCCTCACAGCCTGTTGCCCCCCTCACAGCCAAGAATTTCTTCCTAACATCTAATCTAAATCTACTCTCTTTCAGTCGGAAGCCATTCCCCCTTATCTTGTCGCTACATGCCCCGAAAAAAGTCTCTTTCCATCTTCCTTGGAAGGCCACAATTAGGTCACTATGAAGCCTTCTCTTATCCAGGCTGAACAATCCCAGCTCTCCCAGCCTTTCCTCCCAGCAGAGCTGCTCCATCCCTCTGATCATCTTGGTGCCTCCTCTGGACTCTCTAACATGTCCTTCCTGTGCTGGGACCCCAGGGCTGGAGGCAGCTCTGCAGGAGGGATCTCACCTGAGGGGGCAAAGGGGCAGAATCCCCCCCTCACCTGCTGCTCACGCTGCTTGTGATGCAGCCCAGACATGGCTGGTTTTGGGGCTGCCAGAGCACATGGCCAGGCCTTTTCCAGCCTCTCATTCACCAACAGCCCCCCAAGACCATCTTGGCAAGGCTGCTCTGAATCTCTTCATCCCTCAGCCTGGATTAAATACCAGGGGTTGCTCTGATCCAGGTGAAGGACCTTGCACTTGGACAAGGTAGGATAAAGGAGAGGGTGTTGTATATGCGGACTTGAAGACCTGTGAGAGAAAGAAAACATATTGGGGTGTGGCCCCATGCTCCAAATGGAGATAAACACATCCCATGAAATCTTGCTGGGGTGGAGGACTTTGCTCCATAGAAAAATTTGCAAAATAGGGACCTCAGCACCCAACGAGGTGACAGCCTCCACCACAAATCACTGCCTTGAGAGGACTTCTGAAATCAGCTCAGCCAGGCTCCCCCAGTGATCTCATGCCTTCAACAGAAACTAAGGATAATGTTGTGCTTGTTTTTTAATGGAACTTTGACTAAAGACAGCTGGCTCTTCAACATCTTACACATTCAACTGCAGCCAAAGAGATTTATCATCATTCAGAAAACTCATTGCACAGCGATCAAAGGAGACACCCCTACCCACAGATTCTCTACCCAAAATAAAGAGATGGAGGGTGATAAATATTTCCACTTACACCCCCAACCAACAGAGTCTTCAGCCACAAAATTCATTTTGCATGAGCTCTATACAGGGTACACATGCTTGCTCCTTAAAAAAGTCCCAGAACTGTCCATGCCCTCACTTTGGCACAGGACACAGTACAGCGCCCTGGCAGTGCCACTGGAATAGCTCTCTTTGGTGGCATATTTCTTGTTCCATGGGGCAGCTGTTTTGTTGGTGGCCTTCAAAGGCAAACTGCCTTGGCAGACACGGAACAGAGCCAAACCTTGTGGCCTCTGCTGCCCCTTGATTGTTTACTCTTCTGTCATTTACCGGTAACATTTCACTGGACTGGGCCCAAAATATGAAAAAGCTGATTGCAAGACAACCAGAGACAGAGAAGACCTTTTCCCAGTCAGGTCCAGCAAGAACAAAATCTCCCCTCTCCCAGAGCTACCAAATTCTATGAATTAACAGCTTGGACACTGCAGGTCCAGCTGGGCTTCATTCAGTACCAGCGTGCAATTAGCAGTAAAGAGCAATCAGTCTGCTTAAAACTGATTAAAGTATTGATTATGCTAACAGAGGGAACACAGAGAGTAGACAAAGCAATCTTAGAACAGAAGTCTTTGTGTCCATCTGCCCTTATCATTGTGTAACAACAGCACAGGTCAGCCTGGCTCCTTCAGAAGCGCAGCAGAGAATCGCTTTGATCTGAGCAATCCCCTAATAGCTTCCTCTTTGGGAAGGAGAGGATCTCTTTTTAGCCACACAGAGTTCCTATGCTCGGATCAGCTCCAGCACTTCCTCTGCATCTTCAGACGCCTTCTCCGTTCCTGCTTGTTTTCTCAACAGTCCTGATTTAACATCTCCACACAGCAACTGCCCTTCTGACTGAGTTCAGATACCTTGTCCGTAGCACAGAGCAGCTGCATTTTTATGATGCTCTGTATTCTGTAAATACTGGTGGAAAGTTGTGTTAT